AGAGCCCAGCAGGCGAGGCTGCGGTGGCCGGGAGCGGCCACTGCACTCCAGTCCGGGTGACAGAGTGAGACTCCAACTCAAAAAAAAAAAAAAAGTAAAAAGCAAAAAATAAATAAATAAATAATAATGAAAGACTACTTTCATTTGAGAGATGTTATATTTATTTTGTTTATTTATGAGGAACTCATCTATAAGGCAAGTTAGAATGGTTTTATCCAGTCACTTCCCCCTCTGTTTCTCACTTGTTTAGAGCTTTCCAAAGCATATAGCTTACAATATACCCTCCTATTCCTGGAAACTTCCCACTTATAAGTCATCTGAAATTAAACTAATACACTAGGTCACAAAATGAAATTCCTAAGATGATTCCAGTTTGGAGTTACAGATTTTTTAACTATGGATTATTCTTTTAAATGGCAAACACTACACTAAGCATTAAAATTTTTCTTTGAATAGTGGGTTCATATATATAAAATATATATAAATTTTTCCAATTCTTTTTTATTTTTTTGAGTCAGGGTGTCACTCTGTCACTCTGGCTGGAGTGCAGTGGCACAATCATGGCTCACTGCAGCCTCAACCTCCTGGACTCAGGCAATCCTTCTATCTGAGCCTCCCGAGTAGCTGAGACTATAGGCAAATACTACTATGCCCAGTTAATTTTTTTTTTTTTTTTTTGGTAGAGATGGGTCTTGCTATGTTGCCCTGACTGGTTTCGAACTCCTGGGCTCAAACAATCCACTCACCTCAGCCTCCCAAAGTGTTGGGACTTATAGACATAGGCCACTGCAACCAACCTAATTTTTTCAAATTATTTTAATACGCATTTAAAAAAAAAATCAGGTCTCACTCTGTCTGACTAGAGAGGTTAGAGGCTAGAGTGTAGTGGTCTAATCATGGTTCATTTCAGTCTCAAACACCTGGGCTCAAACAATCTTCCTACCTCACCCTCCTGAGTCACTGGGACTAAAGTCTTGCACTACCAGACCCAGCTAAGTTTTTTTTATTTTTTGAGACAGGTTCTCATTGCGTTGTCTGGGATGGCTTCAAACTCCTAGACTCAATCAATACTCCTGTCTCAGCCTCCCAAACTGCTGGAATTACAGGCATGAGACACCTCACCCAGCCTGAGCATCTTTTATAAGCAAAAAAGGAAAAAAATTGAAAAGTTACTGTGGAAACACGTCAAGTAAGAATGAAGTAAAAAACATAAACAAGTGGATATTATCATGGAGTCATGGAGTGCTATGTGAGAAAATTTCCAGTTAGACTGTTTTATAACCTTCTTGAGGCAAAGGTAAATTTCTAAAGTTGTCATTTATAAAAATATAAATTTATAATACACATCTGTTATTGTTCCTCCAAAACTCATGTTGAAACTTAATCCTCACTGTAACTGTGTAAGGAGGCTGGGAAATCCAACTACAATATTTGAGAGGTGAGGCTTTTGGGAGGTGTTCAGCTTAAATGAGGTCATGAGGGTGGGACACTAGTGGCTTTATAAGAAGAGAGAGAGCTGGTAAGCATGCTCAGCCCCCTTACCATGATACCATGCAACCCCTGTGCTGCCTCTGGACTCTTCAGGGAGTCCCCACCAGCAAGAAGGCCCTCACCAGATGTACTCCCTCAACCTTAAACTTCTCAGCTTTCAGAATTGTAAGAAATAAATTTTTCTTGACCAGGCATGACAGCTCATGCTACAATCCTGGCACTTTGGGAGGCCGAGGCAAGAGGAACGCTTGACCCCAGGAGATCAAAATCAGCCCAAGCAACACAGAGAGACATCTTCTCTACAAAAAATAAAGAAAACTAGCTGAGTGTGATGGTGCACACCTGTAGCCCCAGCCCCTCAGGAGGCTGAGGTGGGAGGATCACTTGAGCCCAGAAGATTGAGGTTGTGGTGAGCTGTAATAATGCCAATGCACTGTACTGCAGCCTGGGCAACAGAGTGAGGCCCCCAACTCAAATGAAAAGAAAATAAATTCCTTTTCTTTACAAATTACCTAGTTTCAAGTATTCAGTTATAGCAACAACAACATAGAAAAACCAGATTAGACATCTGAAGATTACATGGAAGAAAAAAATTCAGCATTAACTCAAACTTACCAATATGGATATAGCCATGTTTGTATAATCTGTTAAGAACCAGTGTTAAAATAAGACCAACATTCCGAGAATTATAATATGTGAGGTAAATAATCCACCCACAGGACAAAATGGTAGCTGTTGAGAGGAAAAAAAATATTCAGAAATGATAGGGTTTACTTTCATATGGTAATCTGTTCACTTATAATACTTGAAATTTTAAAACGAGAGGTTGATTCTACTTTATCCAACTTTCCTCTTTCTCTCATTCATTATCCTGAAAACCACAGATTTCAATCAGATCAATTAGAGCAGTGTTTCAAGTATATCTGCTTTCCCTTTTCTGTTTCCTTTTCACAGTTTTGAATTGTTTTGTAACTAAACACATGTGAAGACATTCT